GCCACAGGTGGCGTTACTACCAACTAAGAAACATTTAAATTTATCATGTGTTCGATGAACAATTTACGAGAGTTATGTCTGTTTGTCTGTGCTTTCATCATTAATTATCTAAAAATGGGTACAAGTTTACCCAAAACTGAGAAAAAAGTTTCCTTAAACTGGTGTAAAGCTGGATAACCACTACCCAAAGTAAAGTATGATTTTGACTTAGTTTGGGTAAACTTTTTACCAATTTGTAAGTAAAACTTTTATCCCTTTTTGGATAATCACAGTTTACTAGGTCATCCGCACGTTTTTTGGTAATTTAGAACCAGCGCTCTACCACTGCTTTGTGATGGATTCCATCGATTATGATGATCACATTGAATGTCGCTCACTGTAAAACATCGTCGCTAAAACATTACCGCCATCTGTTGGGTACACTGTGGTGGGTAATACGCTGAACAGATGGCGGTAGTGTGTAAACGTCAAACGCAAGGGAATTGACTATGCGCGCCACAGGTGGCGGTACTACCAACTACGATACTTTTAAATTGACCGTTAAATTCTTGTTCGATGAAAAACTTGCGAGTGTTATGTCTGTTTGTCTGTGATCGATCTATTTATGAATAAATTTATATATCACATACTCTGCATCAGGCAGCTCCATCACATTTGTCTTCTTCCTAAGGTTGTTTCGAAGTTTTCTCAAAGCATTTGTTTCCTCTTCCGCAACAACACAAGCTAGTGCAATGCTATCCATTGCCTGATTATGAATCCCAATTTATTTTAGTTAACGTTAACGATCCTTGAAGCACTACAAAACAATAATAATAATAATAATAATAATAATAACTAGTTGAAATCAGTAATAAATTTTACACTTACTGCACTGCATAGTTCAATAACTCTATGGATCACGAAGAGATGGTGTCACGTCCGTAGCTCTAAAAGATTGATGAAAAGTTAAATGAATAACTGTAATTCAATGCTGAGCTCTCACCATAAAACAAACGAAAGTGGCCAAGCTTATGTCGAAAGCTGAAGTGACGGACTGGAAAGGCGACTGGACAAGCTATGGGAAATCGTGACGGCGCAAACGGATATCGAACGAAGTCCGGTACTAAGCGAATTGGCTAATTTCCTATGCTCCCTGGAATAGCCAACGATAAAAATGATCCAGAAACCGAACCAAACAATAGAAACTGGTTCTGGATAACCGAATTGGTTGGCTATTGACACCCAATGACGTTTATTATTTCATTGATTGACACCAGCCACGGCCACGCAGCACGGGTAGACCTGGAAGGAAAAAACGGAAAACAACAATACTCAACTGCTTGCTTCATTGCATTGCAAGCAACTTACCTGACCAATGATTGTCCAGCTTTGAAATCAGAACTTGTTCCGGCCGTTTTTTCTTCCTGCATATACGGATGCGTCCTCCGATAATCGTCGCTGGAGGTCACTAAGCACTTTTTATCGATATTTCATAAGTTTTTTTGTTTGTTTCAAGAATAAATATCGATTTTCTTCACAGTGAACAAACAGGTGCCCTCGGTATCCTACGCGAAGATACACAAAACAACAATTTAAAACAAACCGATCCTAACTCCAAATTTTAACAACATTAGTGTTTTGTTGACATCGTTTGATAGTCCACTTGACCGAAAAATGTCAATTTCGTGCGCGGTCTATGCTTAGAATTGTTAAGAAATGTCAAAGTGCATCTGGTACCACTAACACTGTTTATTTTCGAAAAAGCTTTCGTTCGAACGGGTTCGTACGAAAACCAGAATGCCGTTTTCGAACTCGTTCGTACGAACGAACGATTCGAACGAAAACGGGAATAGAGGTGATAATTTCGTGTGTGCTATATGCTTCTCCCTCCCAGGTAAGATCTAACATCGAACATTAACATGTTCTGTATTCTTCATGATTTCTTAAGGGATTGCTGAGATTCCGTACATCGCTTGTAATAAAACGTAAGAAATGTATTTTTAAGTTACGTAATAAGTGTATGGTCAATAACATGTATGTAACACATTTATAACTGATTGTGTTTGGTGAAAAACTGATTGAATTTGACAAAAACTACAAGGGACAACCCTATGGGGTTGTACGGAATGGTGACGTAGGACTACGTGGTCTCATATAATAAATCTTATTTGTTAACTGCAGCAGGCACGAGCTTGTATTTTGTGTAGGAATAGGAATTTGAGCGGGGTTCTCTCTGTTAAAACTCTTTAGTATGACAAGCTTGACATAGATGGCCAACAGCAACTCACGAAGAGCTACTGATTACGATCAATAGCGGTGTGGCTTCTTCCTCCTTCTATGGATGCTCATGTGGACAGCAGCTCGCTGCTTGCAGGCAGCCTTACGTTGGGTACTGGAGAACACCACCATTCACCACGCGGCGATTGAATAAACACCGTTTGGTGAGACCGGATGGAATTAAACTTTGAAATCTGTGTTAGGGAAATCGCTTTTCGCAGGCAATCGGTGATAATTTTAATTATCATAGCAACAGTTGCACATTCGTGCAATTTTAACAGTGACATTTTGAAAAATGATAAAGTCTTAAATTTATCAGATGCATAGAAATATATCTGATCGATTGGTGATACAATTATAGAAATTGGTCCAGGGGCAGCTGAGTTATTAACGTTCAAGAACTTTCATAATTTTGTTACATGTTCCATTTTCGGTTTTCACAAAGTGTACCCCCATATAGAAATCACAGACGTTGATACATAGGGAGATATGCGAGATGGAAATGTTATGTAGCAGATTGGCCAAAGCGAAAAAATAAAAATAAAAATTATTATTTGTTTTGCTGTTAAATGAATCCATGTATGAAAGCTTTGTTTTCTTGAACATGCCATAATAAAACCAAACTCACATTGTTAGGTGTATTTTTTTCATCTTCAAAAGGGAGTGAGTTAGTATTACATAATTTAAGGAGGGGAGGTCTTGTCACGCCTTACTTATTGTTACATAACATCACAATGAGCATCACTTATGGCGGTAAGCTCCAACTCGGATTAACTTTGAATACTGTCCCTGTTTGGATGATCTGCAACATGTTTGCTTAGAGTCGTGTTGATCAACTCTGATGTCAAAATCAAGGCAGGCGAACATTCTTGATCGGGATTTAATCCGAGGATAATACCGGTTGGAGCTTTCCACCATTAAAAGTAGAATTTAGAGAAGTTCAAAGTGCTTTTTCGTATACACGGCCAATATTAATTTTAACGAAATAAGAACCTTTTCTGAAAAAAAAAAACAAATTTGGCCGGTGCTGGATTTGGTTTTTAAGAAATAGTTCTACCCGTGGTCCTGCCAAATATTTTTGTCTGTTTTCGCAACAAAAAAAAAAAAAAATGCATGTATACATTATTTTTCCCACTCACCGTGTATCCATTACGGGCATCACGTTGAATCACCACTAGGAAGCTAGATGAGGGCAGTTCTCAAGTTCATTGTAGGTATAAATTCTCAAGTTTAATGTAGGTAGCATTTCTCAAGTTCATTGTACGTAGCGTTGAATCACCACTAGAAAGCTATGAGGCCATATATCAAGTAGAAAAACATATGCCTCGTTTCTGGCATACTAACTTTATTAATTTTTTTTAGCCTATGTTTTCGGGCATACAATTTATTTTATTGATTTATCAATGTTTTTTATCTATCTCCTTATTTATTTATTTGTCTATATATACATGCATTTATTTATAAATTAATTATAATTTTTTTTTAATTATTTATTTATTTAATTATAAATTTATTTGATTTATCTGGAATCTTTCAGATTTTTATGGAATATCTAGAAATCCATGCAATCTCTTGTCTAGACCAGACTTTTCATGAGTTTTGTCCAGATTTTTCCATGCATTTACTTGAAAAGTATGAAGGAAAAAAAAATCTACGTATGGTATGGAGCACTACTTGGGCGTGTGGGTCCTATTTCTGTCATACGCGTTAAAAACAATGAAAACAAACAACTACATTCATGAATCAAATTATTTGCTCATGATTTAAAATGCTGTAAAAAAAATTGTACGGGCTGTCAGAAGATTGATTTAAGGGAGATGTGCCCAAGTGAAGTGAGGTATGCCGAAGTCCGAAATAAAGCTTCGCACAGCCGTTAGGTAACTGCCTCTTGTCAAAGTTCATTCATGAGTTGAACCAGAAACGTCTCGTAAAATGCTATTCTGATTCAATGGAAAAACTAACCGGTTGCTTCGATATTCCATTAACATGAAGGTTTCAAAATGTAACTCAGTAATAGCTCCCTGGTATTCACATATACGTGAATGCTATACCGTATGCGTATCATTAAACACCGTTAAAAAAAATCTAAAAAAAAATCGGAATGAAAAAAAAACATTTATTCAAAAGGGAAATGTTTGTAAGAACATAAACTATCGACAGAATTTCCATTTGCCGCAATTACGGCCACATGTTCCTTCAGCCAAATTTGCGTGCGGGTTCGAGGTGTGGCATGGTGCCCCATCTTGTCAAATGACCACATTCGACACCAGTCCATATTATTCAGTAATCCACCGAAGGATATACGATATACACCTCCATAAAAGCATAGATTTTTATCATAAATGAGTTACCCATTAGAATCTACCTGTCTTTTACACTGTGCACTAAAAGTCACATGTTTTGTTCAGAAGGTGAAGGTGAAAATACCAAAATTGATTGTCCCATCTATAAGAGTCTACTGGATAAATAAATTTTCAACAGCGTTTTTCTCGACTTGCTGTTTATCCAGATGGGCAGTAGAGCATTGACGTGAAGATTATGCTGAGTCCATTTTTTTATCTTTCGGGGTGATGGCATTCGTGGTAAAGTAGCACAATCGAAAACGTAACTCTGACGTGATTTACTTTAATGTGTGCAACAAAGCCTGTAACAATTTAATAGGGTTGCGTGACATTTTCGGATAAATAAAATACAAAAGTTTGTCCAAACTTAATTCATTATCTTTTTTTTTTGTATTTTAATGACATTTGTGTTCTTCTACAATGCATCTGATGTATTAAGAACATTTACACTTTACATGAAATTTTGCCAGCACTAAATTTTTGTTATTTGATTTAAAATGTAAAATTTTGTGTCTACTGTTTCGGTAAATCTGCGTCTTTTATATCTGAATTTAAATATGTTGAATGTAAGTGTACAAATTGTGTTTCGCTGAGAGCGTAATATCGCATTCGAACTTTGCTCCGAACCGTCATAGATAACATAAAACTCAAAGGGGAAGAAATGAAATGTAAATCTCAGTGTACTCTTGGGTACACCTATTCCTAAAGACTATCTTCTCCCAAGGGAGGCAGATCTGGTGATCTTTTTCGTAAACCGGTTGGTTCATCGAGCTGATCGAGGATATCATCGTCGTCGGAAATGTCATCTACGTCGTCCAGCGAGGAGAAAGACTGGTTCTTCTTGCTGAGAGATTCGGTGTCTGGCACTTTTTTCTCCGATTCAACCGATGGTGTTGTTTGCGCTTCTGGATTGAGTGAATTGGGTTGATGCTCCTCTTTTTCAGTAGATTTAGAGTCTTCGGTCGGTTCTGGTTCATCATGCTGTTTGTCTGCAACTGACTGCAACAACATTTTATCCCCGTGACTTTGTTGACTCGCATCTTGATCGGAATCGGAAATTTCCTCACCTAACAAGCTACAGAGAGTCAATTTGAATTTTTCCATTTCTTCTTCCTCCTTGTCGGATGTTTCGAAATCACCAGTACTTTGTTGTTCCTGATTCAAGTTGGTGGTTTCTTCTGGTACCGGGGCAGAATTGTCCTTCTCAACGCTTTCTACGGGAGGTTCATGGCTTGGGGTGGCTTCCGTATCATCATCTGCCAGATTAGTAGCCGTACTGTCCATCTCTTTCATTTCAACATCTTCCGTTGGTGGAGATTTTGATTCTGTCATTTCCACATCTTCTGGAGAATCAATCGGTTTCATCTCAGCATCCGTAGGTGGATCCTCATTTTGATCGACTTTCATCGGCTCAGCAATATCTACCTCTTCAGCCTCCATTGGAGCAGCATTCGATGCTTCAGGAGAAGATTGGTTTTCATCAACGAGTGGTGGTTGCACTGGCGATTCAGTCTTTTGCTCCTCAGCATCTCCGTTTTCCACGGGAAGTTCATTCTAAAACGTTAGACATTTAGTTTGACAAGGATACGGAATTCATCCACGGTAGGTAAAATATAAAGTTGTTATCTGAATCTTGGAAGTTTTTTTTTTACCGAACCCCAGGAAATTTAACCGCCGAGGTTCTCGACTGCAAGCCTCCATTAGGGTCAGTATTGCTTGAAACTACCCTGTGCAAAATTTGGCTGAAGTCGCAATCTTTTCGACCAACATGAAATCGGAAAACCAAATTAGGCTCGACCCCTGTAACACTATATGGAGCATGAGATCTACACTTCTTAATTATTTATGCCTCGCCATCAACATGTCTTCTTTGAGCACATTCACGGTTTATATTGAAAATTTACTAGGTTCATGCTTTATGTAATAATTATAGAAGTCCGAATTTTGCCAAGGGTTATTTTCAATTAACATCAAGAAATTCAACACCCATCTTTCAACTATTATAGTTAAACTTACCGACTTAATCTCCTCAATAACCTTGTCCTCAGTGGGTTCTTTGTTTTCATCAACCGATGTTTGTTCGGTTTCTTTTTCATCTTTATCTTTTTCATGGTCGCGTATTGTCACACCATCTGATGTTTCCCCTTCCTCAGCTACCTTTGAAACATCTTCATCCTTCTCCTTAGAAGTGCCGGCGTCCTCCGGAACCGTTTTCGTCTTAGAACTCTCTAAATCTTCTTGATCATCTTCACCATTTTCATCTTTCGTCACCTTTTTCGGTCTGCCCCGAGCACGCGGTTTTCCATTTTCTGGCGTACCGGGTGACGTTCCATTTGGTGGTTTCGGCGTTTTCTTTTTACTCTTTTTTGCCTCATAATCTTCATCGCCGTCATCTGTAACTTTTGTACCATTCTCTTCCTCTGAAAAGTCCAACTTATCTACATATTTAATGCTGGGCGAATCCGAAAATTTTACTTTCTTTTTTGCAGAATTGGGACTTTCGGTTCGCTCGGTAATTAATATACTTTTCCTTTTGCTAATGGAACTATTCATACTGGTATTTTGAAGCTCTACCACATCCTCTTCATCGAGGCCGATGAATTCTTCATTCCTGGGCTTTCGCAGTTGTCGGTTCGCTGTATCATGAGATATTGTTTTATTCAAATAGGTGGACAAGTCTATGTGCTCTATTTGAACCGTCAATGGACGAAGTTCCACGCTGAAAATACGATTGAGGTCATCGACGGACGGCGAAGCAGGTATTGATCGGCTGGGCGAATGCGGTGGACCATACTTCTTGCGTTGATGAAGCTTTTTCTTCAGCTTTGAAAATAGGGGTAGTTTGATGAAAATCTTATCACTCTGCTTCAATGGTGCTTTAAATTAAAATTGAAATGTTAGTATACATAACACAATATAGCAACAATACAATGATAAACATACATTTTCCCTTCGAAAAATTTGGTGGAGAAGATTTTTTCCCACCAGTTGGAGTCAATTTGGTCAACATGACTGGAAGCACTGACCCATCCTCTTGCTTAGATTTTTTCGATGGAACGTCCTCTCCTCCCTCGGAGCTGCGACCCCGTTTGCGGCTCTTCTTTTGCGGTGAACGTTTTCCAGCACCATCGTCAAAACCTTCGCAGATTTCTCCTAAAGCGTTCAAATCGATCTTCCGCAGGGCCACGTTACATTCCTTCAGGGTAGAATACTGTTTGCAGAATCGCTTTGCACTGGCATAGTTTCCAGCCAGCTTTTCGTACTTTATACTAGTTTCCAACACATGCATACAAGTGACACAAACTTTGATCGTGTCCGTGTTTCCAAAATCGATGGTCGTGCACTGTTTGATGAGATAGTCGACTACTCGGTCCACACCAGGTTCGTTGACGGTGTTCTCAGATTTACACACGAAACAGCTATCCACGTCAAAATCGGCCGCGGCCTCGATTGTGCGCTTGAATTCTTGAACCCGCAAAATGTTGAAATGACACTCTATGCAAATGCGGCATCTATCCTTGGGAAGCTGGGAATTATAGAGAGGAAATAGAAAACGTGAGTTTCGCTTGGAAATTTTACTTATAAAACAATGGGATAGGGACAGAACGGTGAATCAAAAAAGGTCGAAACACATTTGCGATGTATGGACCTACCGTAAAAGGCCGAAAATGTATAAATCTGCCGCAACAGACAAAAAAAAACCTTACAATGCATCGTTCGGTTAAAGAAAATATGACAATTTACGGCATTCTTATATAAAACTAGTTGTTTAATATGTACATTTGAAGTGCATCCATAGCAAGTTTTTCTTGGCATTTTTATATTGCAAAACATTGACATATAAGCGCCTCTTAAAACTTGCTTTATTTAGCGGAATTCCAGTTGAAGGATATGGAGTTTACAATCCTTCACTCGGCAAACTTTGAATGTCCCTTTTGTGTAAATATTGCTCGGGATTAGCCGAAACTAAATTAAATGGAAGCAACTTTTACTACGTTTATTATTATTATTATTATTTATTCATTTAATATTATGTTTTACGTAGGATCTGTGATTTCTATATAGGGGTACAGTTTGCGCCGAAAATTGAACGTGAAACAAAATTATGAAAGATTTTGAACGTTAATAACTCAGCTGCCCCTGGAGAAATTTCAATAATTTTATCACCAATCGATCAGAAATATTCCTACGCATCTGCTAAATTTATCATTTTTTTTTCAAATTATCAGCATTAAAAATTGCACGAATGTGCAAATGTTGCTGTGATAGGGCTTTTGATCTAATTTCCGTCCTACTAAGCACAACCCGCGCTTTACCTCTCTTTTCTGAACGAGTTTAAACAAAGCAAGGAATATTTCTGTCAAAGATAACCTCTAAACTTATTCATCTTTCCATACGTACCGTTGGATTTGATAAAGAGTCACAAATCGTTGAGATATTGTGTAAATCTAATACTAAATTCGTTCTACGAGTTTCAATTCCGTCCTAACGCATTGAAACGCCATTATATTTTCTTCGTCCTACGGATAAACGTAGAAAAAGGGGACTCGCTAGGAGTGCTTCTTTTGTTTTGAGAACAATGAGCGTAAATATTCATACAGTGCGCTCTAACAGGATTTATGTTGTAGCTAATGAACTAACGCATCGGAACAAACCTATTATTGATTTGTGTACGGTGAAATCATTGATATTATTGATCTTTTCTAATCGATAGAACGGAAATGGGCGATTACGACGAAGTAACGCTCTACCCTACTTAAAATTATCACCGTTTGCCTGCGAAAATTTCCCTAACACAGATTTCAAAGTTGAATTCCATTCGGTCTCACCAAAGGGTGTTTATTCTATCACCGCGTGGTGAGTGTGGTGGTATTCACCAGTACATAACACGATAGGCTTTGCGGGGAACCTCAACCGCTGATCGGATTCAGTTACAATTACCATGTGTGGTGGTGTCCGGTCGTGCAACAGTAGTGCTTTCGGCGCGTGGCGTTGAACATTGTTCTCCAGTACACAACGAAAGGCTGCCTGCAAGCAGCGAGCTGCAGCCCACATGAGCATCCATAGAAGGAGGAAGAAGCCGCACAGCTATTGATCGGAATCAGTAGCTCTTCGTGAGTCGCTGTGGGTCATCTATGCCAAACGCGTCATACTAAAGAGTATAAAGAGAGAGAACCCCGCTCAAATGCCTATTCCTACACAAAACACAAGCTCCTGTTGCAGTTAACAAATAACATTTATTATATAAGAGCACGTAGTCCTACGTCACCATTGCGTACAATCCTATAGGGCTGTACCTTGTAGTTTTTTTTATTGGGTATCAAGCTAGAGCTTTGTTTTCAAGACTTGACCCATTTCAATAAATCTTGCTTCTATCACAGACAAACAGACGTAACACTTGGAAAAAGTTTTTCTTGAAAACATAGTATCTCAAAACATAGGACTTCAGTAACGACATCTCTCGGGCTTCTCGCGGAAAACAAGCTTGCTCGCTAACTCGCAAACAATATTGCATAAAAGTTCTATAGAATGTATAGAAACGTCAAAGTGATCCGATGCCAGCGCTGCGGCGAGTAGTTCGCGGAACTGATAATATTCAAATCAACCGTTAAATGCGTGAACGAAGATACACAATGAAGTATTATGTCTGTTTGTCTGTGCTTCTATCTTTGACAATACAGTAGAAGTACTAGCAACAATCAATACGAAACTAACGATTTTAAATTGGCTCACTTCACTACTTGACTAGCCTATTGGTCCCAAGCAAACGATTAATGTACCCCATTCTAGTCGAAATTCTAGTACTACGCAATGTTTGTTTTGATTCGCTATGAAAGTTTGACAGATAAAATGAGGGGTTATTCGTTTTTCCTATGTTTCGAGGGGTGAATCGATTAGCTTGGGACCGAAGAGAGTACCAGAGCTGTGCCAAAAAGTTGGACACGTTATTTCCAAGGGGGGGAGGTGGCTGTCAAATACGAACAATCTTCGCCTACCTCGCATAACTGGTTCCAAACGTAAACAAGCCATAAGAAACCTACAGCGTTTGTTTACGTTTGGAACCAGTTTCATACAAGATGATCAGTAGGCTGATTTGACAGCACGTCCCCCCCAGGTTATTTCGGGACCTTCTAGTCTTAGAGTTACCTCTATGGTACTAGCCTATGTTGGCAGCTAGAACACTGGATTCCGTGTGTATTGTTTCAAGATAATTATAGAAAAAATGCTGTGACGAGTGCGCGTACATCCGCGTAGTAATCCGATTGAATAAGTAAATCCGATTCGAACAAAATATCTAAATTATGTAAGTTTAGATTATATACAAAAACCGATATTTTAAATGAAATTAAGAATCCAATTTCATTTTTCGGACACTTTATAATTATATCTTGAAACACCTACATCGAGACCTACATATATACCTAATACTTACTGTTACGAACGCGCTAACGGTGTGGCCGTGTACATCATGTACAATAAAATGAACGCGAACGTAAACTAGCAAATAAAACTTTATTAAAATGACGAACTAAAAGTATACATTGACTTGCGGGAAGCGCACACGATACAAGATGACGGATACGAACATATTATCTGATGTGTTGTTCCTCTTTCTTATGCTGGTTCGCGCATCTACGGGTGACAGCTTAGCTGCTACCAGTGAGCTCAGCAGTGTTGGTGTTGGTAGCGATCGTTAGGGATGGCCATGTTCCCAACACTTACACTGTAGCTATTTTCAGTAGACAAAACAAACAATAAAAACTGTCATTAGCCGCAATTAAAAAAAAAAATATGGTCACGAACGATTATCAAAGCGGCATGCAAAACAGCCTTTTTCCAATTCTTGTATGGAATCACATGACCTCTCAGACACTCATATAATATTGTTTCCTTTTCGTGAAACAGCAGAAGCTTCTCCCACTCTCACCTCACGGTGCTCTCGCATTTTCATCCGTTTCAAACGCTCATCGAACCAGTTTGCGAAAGCTTCTGGCAACGCTGCCCATAGGTTCCAGTCAGCGGGCGAACGTAAATGAGAAAACGATCTCCCTCTCGGCTGCAGAATAATAGCTCGGTGATTAACGAATATACCTTTAGGCGAATTGTTATCTCAGATTTTTTTTCTTGATTTATTTTCCGTCGATCTTGTTTTCCGTGCTGAGCCAATGCTACCGACGCCCGGCTGGGATTGAATCCAGACCCATTAGGGTGAGAAAGCAGTCACGCTTACCACTACACTACCGGCGTCGGTAACTGCGGAACATGTTTTCTTATATTTCACAAAATGTAACGGTTTAAGTGGGTCATAAGTGGGAACCTATTAATGAGACGATAATGGTTGCCAAATTTAGAACACGGGTTCTAAACCTTACAATAATTCAATGTTATGCGCCAACCGATGCTGTCGAGCTACAGGACAAGGATAATTTTTACAGTCAACTGAATGCCGTCGTGGATAAAGTCCCACAGGATGACACCAAGATCTACACTGGCGACATCAATGCAAAGATCGGCTCCAAAAACACTGACTAGCATGGACCATGATCTCTAAAAAAAGAGCGAAAATGGTGAGCTGTTCGCAGAATTTTGTGACCTCGCTCTTTCCCCATCGACCAGCGCACAAAGTCACGTGAGTTTCCCGTGATGGACATACCGAAAATCAAATCTGTACCACATCTGTATCAGCCGAAAATGGAGACAGAGCCTTATTGACGTTCGGAATAAACGCAGCTCCAATATCGCGCCTCAGATCCACCTACGCATTACGCAGATCTACCGGAAGGAGACAAAAGAATGCCTTTATTGACACAAGTGAGAACAATCTGGGTGATCTGCGCACTCAGCGAAAAAATGGATCACTGATGACACCTTGCGGAAGATTGAGGACCGTAGAGAAGCAAAAGCCGCGACAGAGCGGGCGAGAACCAGATGAGACAAGAATGAAGCCCGTCAACGGTATTCGGCTCTAGAGAAGGAAGTCAAACGCTCTTGCCGGTGAGACACGCGAGGGTGGGTAGACTCCCTGGCTAACGGAGGGGAAAAAGCTACAACAACTGGCGATATCCGCCTCCTCAACGATATCTCACGACTGAGTGGAGCAAGGATTAATCCGAAGATGCCAGTGAAAGACGCAACTGGAAAGTAACTTATCGAACCCACTGACCAGTTGAAACGTTGGTTTGAGTACTTCGAACAACTTCTTCAACTTTCGACATCCAACCAGCCATCAACAAACATCTCGGAGCCGCCAAGGGTACGGCGCATCACTCGTGTCATTTTCGAGGCCCCGTCACTGCAGTAGATTGAAGCAGCTATCCGAAGGATAAAATACAACAATGCTCCCGGGGTCGACCGCATATCAGCAGAGATGCTCAAAGCTGACCCAATGCTATCCGCACAAATGTTGCAACATGCATATTCTGTACCATCTGGGCCACCACGACTTTTCCGGGCGTCTTAGTAAACTGCCGCTCATCGCATCATTTGAGTTTTTGTTAAAACGGCGTTTTTTAGTGGAAATGGTAACTAATCACTTCTATTTTTATAATACTGGACGAGCACAGCAACTTTGTCCTGAGAAAGTTTGTAAAAACAGTCAAACTAGTTGTCACATCACATAAGCAGGGTCGGAATGGTTTAAGGACAACCACTCCGCATTCCTGGCGAATTTTTCGAGCAGCACAGGGATCTATCAATCGTTCTATCGGATTTTGTGAAATCGTCCATCATTCGAAACAGCGTGTGTTTTTACCTAACGATCTTGAAACATGTAAATACGTTTTCGTTAGGTTAGATACGGTTAAACGATCCCTGCAACATCCGGATGAGAGTCCCTACGAAGCGAGGAGAGGAGACAAACACATGCCACACATGTGTGGGCCTCATAGCCTAGTCAGTAAAGGCACGGTATTACCAAGCCGGAGGCGGCGGGTTCGATTTCCGGTCCGGTCGAGGGAATCTTTCGGGTTGGAAATTTTCTCGACTTCTCTGGGCATAGAGTATCATTGTGCTTGCCACACAATATACAAATTCATGCATTGGTAATTGGCATCGACAGCTCTCAATTAATAACTGGAAGTGCATTTAGAACACTAAGTTGAGAGCACGCAATAAGCTAATATGCGCTAAGCAATAAGCTTGAAATGCGAATAAGAAGAAGAAGAAGACAAACACATGCTACATCAAGGGAAAGAAGCAGAGGATCTCCCATCGACAGATTGAAGCCGGCTTATTCAAGTTACGCCCTCAGGCCATCGAGTAAGATTCCTGGCGTAACTGGTGGAGAGTAGTGTGGCGCCAACACTGCCGCCGATGAGATTTATAGCGAATTTGTTTATTATCCATGTTGGAACCAGTTCCAACCCGTGCGAACCCGAGCTTATTGTCAGTGCGAACCTCAACCCGAGCCAGGTTACAAAAACCAACGTTTACACTGACGTTTGAAAGGCAACAAGCAGACCCAATCTTGATACCCGATCCAGGTTGGAACTGAATCAAAAACAAATTGTTGTAACAAAAATGATTTTGCTAAGTGCGTAATAATAAACCATTCAGTTTTTTCATTGTTTGCTACTCGACGCTTTTTTCGTCTCGTCAGATATTACCCGAATAACCCGTAACGTCCGTAATTCCCACAGACAAAAATACAAATGCATGCTGCGATTGTTTGTTGTCATTGTTTTCTTGGAATTGGCACTGATTAACTGTTCTAGTGACTAAACTTTAATTGTTACAAATAATTATTGAAATAAACTTGTGTTGTGTTATAATGGTTATGACTCTTTATGTCATCCCTAATAAAATTTGTATGGTTATTTTGCTTACCGACGTGTTCAGGGTATCATCCAAACCATTTGTGGAATAGTTCAATCATTTGGGTTATCGTTCGGGTATGGTGTTTTTTATTAGGGATGTTAATACTTGTTTCTGCCTTGTTCAGTCAAACTGCATTGACAAGAAAATGTCATCAAAATAGCCGTATCACATGTTATTGCTGCTCAGCATCAAACTGAGGATTTATAACATGTTATAAGGCTATCTTGATGAAATGTTTCTTGTTGATGATTATTAAATCATGCTATTTATAGTTCTGCAGTATGCCATATAAATGAAAAATTTCCTAATATCGAAGACATCCTATCAAGAAGACTGGCAACTTTGTCAGAATCCAAGCGACATACAGTAGCACTGCACTTGAGCGAAGGTGGAAACAACGCATATAAAAATGAGCAAATACCCAAACCTGTCTTCTGAGGATGTAATCTTTGCTATCAAATTTGTTCGAAGCATTTACCTTTGAGCGGCAGATGACGCGATTGTACTTGTCTCTTAGTAGTCGTACGAGAAAATGGAAGAGTTGCCAGAAGACTGTCTTGGCTAATCTAATCTTGATAGTTTTTTTTTGCCGATAATTATCATAACACTCTTATAACATGGTATAACTCAGTAGTGTGAGCATTGGCATTATTCTGAATCTGTCTGAACATAGTAGTTAACATGGGGAATTATAACATCTTATACCACGTTCAGACTACAGAGTTATAATATCGAAAAGAAAAATGTCATCAAGATAGGCATATAACTGCTCAATCTGGCTAGCGTTTTGTTAGGCATAAATAATTCAGTGCCAACATTTCAAAGGGGCGTAATTGCTTTTGTAAACAATGACTTTAACCGTAAATTTCTCGCGAATGAAATCTTACCTCTACAAAATTACATTGCTTGCTGATAGAGGAAACATTCCTCTACCTGCTGGTGTAATTATTTTTCATGAGTGAGCTTTTATTCGCGAGAAATCGACGACTAAAGCCATTGTTTACAAATGCAATTACGCCCATTTGAAATGTTGGCACTGAATTTATTCCACCTAAATACGACTTTTGAACCATAGTGCATTGCCACGATGCCATCTATTGTGCGTTGCAGTTGTCTTCATGACCGATACGAAGACAATCTCTAGTGAGATAGATAGAACTCGGTCGAAACAGTGCGAAAAAAAAGTGGATTAATTATCAGTCAAATATGACGTATGGTTCATGCAGGGCATCATTTCAATTGAATAGTTTCATGTCACCGGGCATGTACAGTCGTCGTTGGTAATGTAATGTAATATGAGGGGCTCGGTTGCATACTGAGCAGAAGACCGTGAGTTTTATCCCAGCCCCCTTTACATTACTGAGACGATAGGGTTGCATCATTCGCTTATCAAAAAATCGTAAACTTTATTCGTGTTATCAAAACAATTCATCGAATAACATTATTGTTTTTTTTTTCATAAACTTAATGAATGCACCTCAGGCCGAGTTGAGGAATTTGTTTGAAAAGTTTATAATTAATAAATTGTTATTTACGCGGATCAGAACTCGATGGTCACTATGAACCGGATCCCATTTGATGTCAGCTTCCGTCCTTCTGGTCCTCGTTCCGTAGCGGCTCTACCAGTGATTGTTTATACCAAATTTTGCGCATGTCCCTTTTTAGTATCGGCGTTTAAGATGATCAAGGGTAGCCATTTTTGCCGCCGATATTTTCATAAATATCACTGAATTCCTTATTCCGATCCGACACTGTTTCGAACAACTTCTGCTTCTTCCAGAGTTACGTTATGAACATCATAAAATATACTACGAAGAACTCAAGGAGTAAAAAGAAAACTGACTTCGAGTACTTACATTTATGCTGTAGATATCCTTGATGGCATTGGCGGTGCTGGGGTTATCTACCAAGATTTGTCGTTGCTTTAGACAAAACAAGCAGGTTTTGTTCTTCATATCCATCAGTTTTATTGACCAAGAAACCGGCGATCCAGAGAAAGATCCCAATCACTTCGAGGACAGATTTTTAAAGGCCGGATGCAATCAACAATGATGATGATTTTTTGGCTGATATAACATTTTTATCGGTCACTGTAAATAACTTTTAAGCTATATCCTTGATGTTTCTAATCTTTAAGTATCTACACCAGATTACAGATTCGCGAAATACTATATACTATATTTTTACGCGCAATTCTACAGTTCAACAAAATCAAGAATGCTCAAGAATGTTTTTCACCGCGAGCCGAGTCCGCTTCACTTTCTTTTTGCTGTTGTTTGACGTTTGCAGAACTTTTCCCTCTGTGCTCAGGCGATGACAAGACAACATATCGGGTGACCAGCATGGAACATAAATCAGAAAAGGCCTTTTTCGATCCGATCCCCGCAGGGCTCTCTAGCTACACTCAAAAGATTTTCAAATCTAAATAGATTAAAAGTAACGCTAAATCACAACCCTCCTGACCGACACATAGCTTGCTATAAAGAGAGAGAATACGAGCTTAGAACGAGAATGGATTATACATCAGAATGTATTTTCTGCAAGTATACAAGCCTTGTTTAAACTTGGTTTGTTTGTTTCCAGCAGTCGTTATTAAGATTTTGTTTTCTTTTTCAAAGGATTACGAAACGCAGTTTGAGAAAACATCGAAAGCTGCACGCAGAAAAATGGATTTTTGTTTCAGGTCCTAATGTATTTTGTTATTGATTCAAACATATTGTATCACTATTTCAACAAAACATATTTTTGAATCAACAAAATGGTTTATAGAATCAACAAACAGATTATTGACTCTACAACCGGTTTGTTGATTCAAAAATATTTTTCTTTGAACTAACCGAATAATATATTTGAATCAATACCAACATAAATAAGGCCCTGACGCAAAAAAAAAAAAATTTTCCTTGATTTGTTTTCCGTCGATCTTGTTTTCCGTGCTGAGCACCAATGCTACCGACGCCAGAGAGGCAGCTCCCACACCTGGACCCTATCTATCGACCCATCAACTCATGAACCGGGGACCAACGGCTTTACTTCCCATCCGAAGGAAGGCGTGATCAGAGATGTTATGCCTCAGAACATCCCGGCGGCGCCGACTGGGATTGAACCCAGGCCTGCTGGGGTGAGAAGTAATCACGCTTACCACTACACCACCGGCGCCGCTACCCAAAAATATATCCATTTGAATTTAAAAATCATTTCTTTGCGTGTGTTTATTTTGATTCTTAAATACGTATAATTAAGATAACAAACTAATAAACAGGCATAGCAATAAGCAGAGCTAGCAAATTTCTCCTCAAATCTGTTGGGGATGCTGCGGTTGCTGTAATTTTCAAGCTGAGGGGCTGCAGCTGCTGTACATCAGTATATAAAGTGTAAAACCTAGTATACAGATCGAGGCGAAACGAAATTTGAAGCACGTGAAAAATCATAAAATTTTGCTTGCAAAAAAGGTTGTGAAAATTTTTTTTGAGGAACATCTTCCAGTTTCCTTTTTTCGCAGTTTACAGTTCATGTGAAACGAAATCGATCAGTTTACACCTCCGGTGAAGTGAAAATTTGACAGATACGCTCTTTCTCGAAACGTCAACTTTTCGCTTAGCTGCTGGTATTTTCGCGAGCACTGCATTCGTGAAAAAAGTTAACGTAAGCGAAAAAGATGCGATCCACAAAATTCAATTTCGCTGGATCATATTTGTTTACAGTTCAAAGCGAAGTGAAATATTTGCAATATAAATATTTTCGCTTCGATCTCTATAAAGCTTGCTGACGTTTGTCGTATGCACACTACGTCACGTATATGTATACGCAAAATGTTTTCATCGGAAAAAAAAAACATCATAGTGAAAATGTTTCCAGATGAAAACAAATCACTGACACAATCACACTTTAGCAATCTCTATACAGGCCTTAAGTGTATACACGCTATTTCAAAACTTCCCAAATTTGGGTACAATCCACCCAGATCTGTCAAAACTGAACCTACCCAAAATGGGTAAACTGTGTTGGGAGTGACAAGTTGACAAATGAACAACATTAATATTAATCCGATCGATGTTGTTCATTTGTCAACATGTCACTCCCATGGGTGGATTTTTAATAGTTGTGAAATATCGTGTAAAGATTTTCACGTCTAGTTGTATTGGTACGATATATGAGAGCGCTAAGTAGTGTGCGTGCGTTAAATGTCACTAATCTCTATGGATCAATGAAAATGCTATGGTTTTGACAGAACTCCCGCTTAAACGCGAACCATAACTTGACCTTACCGAAAATGGTTAAAAAAAATTTATAATCCCTGCTAAACTTTATCTGAAATGGTTATGGAACTTCACATGGGTTCTTTAATTTTGAAAAATATATCGATTTTTATATATCATCTGAAAGAACTTCGTTTTCTAAGCACAGCGATATTTTTTTCAAACCCACACACTTTCATCTCGGTTTTTAAATCAAGATTTAAAGTAAAATAATAACTTCACTATTTGACACTAAACTGACAAACTGACAGCTCGCTCCCATACAAAGTGACACCGAGGAGCGCTAATAAGGTGATTTTTGCAAATGTAATCGTACTTAGTTAAAATAGTTCCAGTGTACCAAAATTGATGAAATTTTGGGTTTGGGTTCGATTACGAATATGCATTAACTTCAATACCCTTAAAGAACCCAATTCAAGCTGATGTATGAAATAATGATGTTATAACAAAAAGCAGATACAATATTACATCAATGGATGTAATTTTGTTCGCAAAATCGATGTACGTTATATTACAATCGATGTACGTTATATTACACAACCGATGGATTGACATGGTTGCAGCAGTTTGGATGTAATATTCATTAACTTTTTTTTCTGTGTAACATGCTCTAACATATAGCACCAATCAGTGCTGAGATTTTTCATTCTCATTGACAGACTTTTGCGCGATATTGACAAAATTAGTTTTTGACATAGTCAATGATAGACTTGATCCTCAAAAAAATCTTTGTCAAAATCTCATTCATTTTTTCGTCAATGACAAAGATTTACCTGGTAACAGAAAGTGTAATTTCTTGCATTCTGAGTCACATTATTGTTATCTAAGCAGTTCAGGACGTAGATGCCCGGAAAAAAATAACCATACAATTACCATAAAATAAAATACAATTACAAGTAAATCTATTGCCAACAATCGATCTTATTGTGCATATATAGTACACGAATTTTTAACATATGGTTATTACAATAGATGTACAATACGTCCCATATAGTAAGAGTTTTCAACAAAAGAACAACAATACAATTAATGGTAAATGGTTCAAGTTTGTTCGGGAAAAAGTGATTTTTCGTATGGTTAAGATACATAACGACCCCCTTAATCCATTGTATATTCCCCCATTTACCATAGATTCTATTGTAGAAACAATACATTCTATTGTTATTTTATCGTTGTGGAGAATACGATTTATTGTAAATACCATAAACTCTATTGTATGGTTACAATACATTTCATTGTACCTCTACGGTTCTTTTTTTTACGGGTGCTTATTCACTTTAATGGCTCCATATAATTGTTTTGCTCTTGCCATTTGATTTCATTTCAAATTTAGCTAATAAACAAATCAGCACATGTTCGTCACTGACAAAAATGCTACTGACAATTGACATGGTTTGCCTTGACGATGACTGTTAGCTCAAACGAGTGACCAAAGCAGAATTTTGAGTATCACCGTGTATTGTCGAAATTTTGCAGCACTGGCACCAATACAACTGGACGAGAAAATCTCTATGCGATATAAATAAAAATTTAACATCGACTCGTGCATGTTCCGGAGTGTACACAGCAAAAAAAGTTGTTGAATATTACATCGAAACTGCTGCAACCAGGTCAATCTATCGGTTGTGCAATATCACATTGTACGATGTACATCAATTTTGCGAACAAAATTACGTCCATTGATGTAATATTGTATCTGCTTTTTGCTATTACATCATTATTTCATACATCAGCTGGAATTACGTTGATCGATATTACATTTTTTTTTGCTGTGTATCTTTTCAGAATCGAATCAGCAGTAGTGCGCCCTTTTCAAAATTAAGTCTATTGGATTCCTATCCCACGACTGGCTTGACTCTTATTTGCTTGAAACTTTTTTCTTACAGCCCGCGACGCGATCCAAAAATGTCAGTTACATTTCCGGTGAATTGACAATCCCTCTTTCCGTTTTGTTGTAGAAAAGTGTTAGCACTTGAATTTGTTACCGCTTGGCATTTAATGCTACAAAATGGTTAATATCTGTTTTATTTAATTTAAAATCAACTCAAATAGTGTTAATAATTAGTGGCTGTGTTATTTGTTATGTGAAATCGTGATATTATAGTGGTTATTCAAGCGAATTACAACTTGTATGTTACGTGTTATGCTCGACAGTGAGACGAAAGTTGGATGTCCAATTGCATGTGCAATTCTGTTGTTTTTAATTGTTTCGATGTTAAAGAAGTGTGTTTCGTTACAATAGACGGAGAACTCTTGAATAGGGATATAGTTATTTTTTAATCATAGATCTTAGTGCAAGAAAATCTCGCCGACAATATGTAAACAAGACTAGGTTATGTTGTAATTCGCTTGTCTCCGCCGAATATCACGAAACATACGTGCAATCAGTTGCTGATCGCTTTTCCTGTATAATTTCAGACCAAGGGTACCTCCAGCTTTGGTAAACGTCGTAATAAGACCCATACGCTGTGCCGTCGTTGCGGCCGGTCGTCTTATCACATCCAGAAGCACACCTGCTCGCAGTGTGGATACCCAGCGGCCAAGATCCGTACCTGTAAGTATTGAATGCGCTCTACGTGTTCTATTGATACGAACGTCTCTTCCAGTATTGATTAAATTGAAGAAATTATTGGTTTTCTTCAAACAATGGAACAGACGGAGAAAAAACATCGTCTTACCGATCAAAATGAAGCGAATCTCCTTTGTTGTCGTTTCATTAAAGAGTAAGGAAACAATAAACCGGAAGACCTAGAAAATGTGCCGAGCCTTCTCACCAAACTTCAACTGGATTAGGCGTTGTGCAGCTTAATGAGTTCATTTTAAGATTGTGCCACATTACCCTGAATGTCGTCACTCCGAATTTCATTCACCCGCACGTTATCATTCCGAATGTGAACAGAACGACCAGCAACGAGTAGAAAGTCGTATCTCAGTCGGGGCAATGGCGTTTGGGGAACTGATATTCGAGGAAATATTCGGAGCAATGGAGCAAACCGTATTTTCAATGTGTTTTTTTTGCATATACAGTCAACTCTACACAACTCGATGTCTAATAACTCGATATCGAGTTATAGAATCATAGTAAACATCAGTTTAATGGCTACTGTGATTTAAATTTGTGTAGGATTGTTATTCTATGGCCCATTTTATTTTCCCGGGAATCACTTCACCTTTAATGACACCTTGTCACTTAGTTTTCACCGTGAAGTGACACCCATAATAAGGACCTATAACTCGATGGTTCCTTAAATGAGTTTTAGAGATTTCACTGTTTTGTGTAACTGAAGCAGTTCCGTAAGGCTATGCAATTTTACTGGAAGGTTTAGTGGACGAAACGCTGTTTTCGCGTAGATACCACTACCATTGTAGATTATTTAACTCTCAAAGCCCCCAAAGTCTGATACTGAACATTGCTAAAACTATCAGAAAGATCCATTTTTACATTTCTCTATGAATATTCCAAAACGTGAAATTAGTGAAAACAGGATTCTATTGCCTGCTGTTTTTTTGCCAAAACATACAAATTTGAAATTGCTACTCCTTGTTTGCTGTGCTACTACAAACAGAGAGTAGCAATTTCAAATTTGTATGTTTTGTGGAAGCTGACATTAGTGCCTTTGAAATTTCACGCTAAGGCTTCCTTAGAGTATCACCTTAATGAGTAGTAAAGCAGAATTCAACATTTGCCCCTGTAGTGGTCTCGAGCTCTCTGGAAATTCTACATATTACGAGCTACCGATTTTTGTTTTCCTCACTTATATTCATTGTTTCGTTCAATACGATTTACCGAAACAACCAAACTGTCCATGCTCAAATGTATACGATCGAAAGAGCACGTAATATTGAAGTAGGAGACCAGCACTGCACGGTTGGCTTTTCGGTGTTGATTGTATAAAATGAGAAAATTTCCCTTCTGTTAAATTCTTACGAAGAACTAGATTCAGTTTGTGTCTTCATAAAATAAGGCAAAAATAATCATCTTAAAACAGGATACGTTGACTTATGTCGTTTTCGTTTTTGCGGTGTATCTACAACGCCGCACACCGAAATAATGCAGGATGTACAGCTGTGTTCGATAAAAAAGCAGCGCATGCCGATTTTCATACAAAATGGTCAACTTTGACATTATGTAACTTTGTTAACTTATGATCAATTGAGCTGAAAACGTTCGTCAAAGAACTAAAAATATGTTACGATTACAAAATATTACATTTTTGGAAGCACCTGTCGGAAAGTGATACACCAGGTAAAATTGTTCTACACAGGTATTAACTGCATTAACAAGATTCAAAATGACCGAATTTTGTCTCTGTTCCATGATGAACTAGCCTTCGGTAAAAATCACGTTAATAAAGTAAAACAAGTAGCTCTGTGAAAAATTCCATGACGATTCTGAAGAAGATTCCAAGATTTGAGAAAATATCAAGGGAATCGAATTTTGAGATTATAATTTCAAAGCAATTCTACTGAGAGTTTTAAGAGAATTACGAGGATATTTCCAAGGGTATCGAAAAGAGTAACGAGAATTTCATGCGAATTTTCAGAAGAATAGGAGAGCTCCAAAATTATTCTGAGCAAAATTTTAAGGGTACTGTATTCTGAAAAGAATTTCTGGATTGGTATAAATAAAGTTAAATTAATTTTAGAAGAATTCTGAAAAGAACTCTGATGGGAACTGATAATAAAGGGATTGCTTGACATCAACCCCTTTATAATCAGGATCAGGATTTTTTTAAATAAAAAAAAAATCCAATAAAATGTTGTACAAAGAGAAATGGTTTTTAAATTCAAATGGATATATTTTTGGTTCAGGGCCTAATATATTTTTGGTATTGATTCAAATATATTATTCGGTTAATTCAAAGAAAAATATGTTTGAATCAACAAACCGGTTGTAGAGTCAATAATCTTTTTGTTGATTCTAAAAACCATTTTGTTGATTCAAAAATATGTTTTGTTGAAATAGTGATACAATATGTTTGAATCAATAACAAAATACATTAGGCCCTGAAACAAAAATCCATTTTTCTGTGTGTACGCATTGGGATGACTTCGAACGCAAAACCAAATTTAGGATCCAGAAAAAATGCTACTAAAGTCTTAGTAATGACCCATTTAACATTATGATCGCTTCGGCTCAATGGCTTCCGGATTTATGCTTAATTTAAATGTACATAGGGTAGATGTACCAGTCATGCATATTCTGTCAATGACTCGCGCTCATTGCTGCTTACACTACACTGGTCCTACACCTCAAAAACGAAAACGATATAAGATCACTCCAGAACACTGGTTTCGATATTAAGAAAATATAATCACAGTCTTCCTGCTTAACAACAACTTGAGTGATTGTATGTATAGATAAGATTAACAACCATTTCCTTTTTTCCGTATCCTATTCTAGACAACTGGTCGATCAAGGCTAAGAGGAGGAAGACCACTGGAACTGGCCGCATGCGTTATCTGAAGATTGTGCGCCGTAGGTTCCGCAATGGTTTCCGTGAAGGACAGGTTGCCAAGCCACGCAAGGCTACCGCATAAAGAGTACGAAATGAGAATACTACTATGTGAAGTGCGCTGATTGATGGAGGAGGAATAAATCTAAAATCATTCTTAAAAGTTACGCACCTTACATCTGTTATTTTTTTCATCCGAACAGACCGAGAAATAGACCATTTTAAAATTGTATGTAGGTAGTTTTAAAATGTCTTAACTGTTACCATCAAGGGTTACTTCCATTAAAATATTCTTGTTTTCGTTCGTTTTGTATTTTCCATACAAATTTTTTTTTTGCATGGAAAATACGGTTCGAACGAAAACGAGAATATGGATGATTATGATGATGCATATTTTGTATTTGTGGAGGAGATATGTAAAGTTTGTGTTTAACACAAAACATGCCAATTTCTTTTTATGAGATTATTTTCCCCCATTCATTCTTCGCGAACAGGAAATCACAGGTTGTGACTCTTTATAAGCAAAGTTGTGTGCATCACATTCCTTACAACCTCTTATTACAACTTATTAAATAAATAGGTTGAAGATTTTTTTTCCTTGATTTGTTTTTCGTTGTTCTTCTTTTCCGGACTGAATACCAATGCTACCGACGCCAGGGAGGCAGCTCCCACACCTGGACCCTACCTATCGTCCTATCAACTCATGAACCGGGGACCAACGGCTCTACCGTATGCATGATAATGTTTGCACCATTGAGCAATATCAAAATTGAAAAAAAAAATTATTCAAAGGGGGAATGTTTCTCATGTTAATCATCAATCGAGTTTCCACTTGCTGCAATTACGGCCTCAACACGCTTCCATAATGCACGACAGGTTCTAATAATGTAGTCTGGATCCATTTCTCTCCAGGTACGCATTAATGTTTGTTTGAGGCTTGCTGTACTCGGGTGGCGTTTAGAACAGGCCTTGGCCTTCATGACGCGCCTTATTGAGTAATCCAGCGGATTAAGATAGGGGCTCAATGGTGGCCACATATCCTTCGCCCAGAACGGAAGATGTTCCTGCAACCACTTCTGAGTGCGGTTCGAGGTGTGGCACGGAGCCCCATCTTGTTACAGGGCTGTTACAACAGGCGCGGATTTCGCGATTTTCGCGGATTTGTCGCGGATTTGAACTTTCAGTCGCGAAAATCGCGGAAACATTAAATGATATCGCGAAAATCACGAAGGGATTGATGTGCTGTCACAAAAATTGTGGAATTCATTGTAAACTTTCCGTCCCGGATTATTTTGTTGTCATCAATTTTTGCTGTCAAACACCCTGTAAATAATCGAGAAATGATCTCAATTCCATAAGTCACATTGGATTTACACGGAAATTCCCTGAGGTCTGTCCAATGTGAGACATTTTCCTTTTTTTTCGATATGAACATAGCATTTTTCGTTGTCAAATCATAAACGAGTCGTATACATGCGAGTAATTGCCATGTATACCGGATATTCTAGGTTCTCGAAATCGTCCTTGAGTTCAGTTGATTTGTTCTATCAAGACTCCAATAATGTCTGTAGTATCGAAATATGTCCAAAGAAATTCAAAGTGTCTATGTGGATTGTACCCGACCTATTGCTACGTATACAAGATGTTATAGGTTCTGAAATCATTCTGGAGATCATATTATTTTTCTACTAGATCACCCAAGACTAATTCAATATCTGTAGCAGTGTTGGCAAAATCAGAAATCAATTGATATTTTTCCGTTCTCATGCGCTCGCAATAATCACGCACGCATATTGGAACAAAATATCATGCTTGATATTGATTTTACAAGCTCCTTTGATATTGCGAGACTATTCACAACGTGCAAAATTCAAGCTGAGAGTTGACTCGGCACAAACATGATTCCATTGCACATCGTTTTTTTTAGAAAGAGAAAGCATCGTTTGCTATCTCTTTTTAATCTTCACCGATGGCAGACGCGAAGGGACTGCTGCAAGCCGTTATGGAAGTTTCGGTTGCATTCATGTGTAAAATTAAATTAAATTCAATCTCACCACAGTTTGGTGAGATTTGCAGTTGGTGAGTTTTGTTAGCTTGATACTCCGAGCTGCGATATCACATCTTGCAAAATCAACCGCAGTAGTTTGCTTGTTGATTTTTGTCTACGAAAATCAAGCGTGATCTTGGGCGTTGGTGAGATTTGATTTTTTGATATTTTCCCAACACTGATCTGTAGTATCGAAATATGCCCAAACAAATTTGCAGTGTCTATGTGGATCATGCCAACATATTTCCGCGTGTGCCAAATGTTCTAGGATTTCGAAATCGATATTTAGATACTACTGATATTATCCTACACACTTAGAAAAAATCATGTAAATTTAGGTGCTCTGAGACTGACATATACGAGTGTCAATTTTGACATAAAATTGAGTCATAATAGACGCCAAATTCAGCTCAATCAAACGTACTTTTCGTCGAGTAACGTACTTTTCAGTCTCGGAGCACTTAATTTTACATTACATGTTTGTTTACGTCTCATCTTTTATGTCAAAGATGGATTCCGTCACGTGTAAAATTAGTTTTTTCGAAGTGTGTAGTCTTTGTTGATCTAGTAAAACAAATCATCTGAACTGCAGGATGATTTGGAGAACCTAGATCATCTGGTATACGTGGACATAATTAAACATTATCCATATAAACACTATGAATCTGTTCGGACATATTTTGATACTACAGACTTCATCCCAGTCATGGTTGATCTAGTAGAATAAATCATCTGAACTCCAGAACGATTTCTTCTTCTTTTTTTTTTTTTTTTTTTTTAACTCTTTATTTGTTCCAAATTTAAAATAAATTACATTTCATTTTAACCTAGGTGCTCCAGTTACTGCAGTAACGTACCAGCCTTAATTGTTATGATATATATCTAAGTGTTTTTACATTGTTCATGTCTTGGCAATTCAGTATTTTAAACAGGTTTTTTAACCTGCATGTCAGTATAACAATTGATATCTTAAAACTAAAAACTAAAACTAAATCTTATCTAAGTATAAAGGGAATTAATCGTTGCAATTGAGGATTGCAACGATTTTTGCCTGAAATTATTAATTATTTTGTTGGACATTTGTGCTAAAGTCTCAACATTCGAAATTCTATGTACTTCGGTTGTACTGTACCAGGGAGGCAACTTCAAAATCATTTTCAGAATTTTGTTCTGAATCCTTTGAAGTGCTTTTTTCCTGGTAGTGCAGCAACTAGACCATATTGGCACAGCGTAAAGCATGGCCGGTCTAAAAACTTGTTTAAATATTAGAAGTTTATTCGTCAGGCAAAGTTTGGATTTCCTGTTTATAAGAGGATACAAACATTTTATATATTTGTTACATTTGGCTTGAATGCCCTCAATGTGATCTTTAAAAGTTAATTTTTGGTCAAGTATTAATCCAAGATATTTCACTTGGTTTGACCAGGAAATTGGAACTCCGTTCATAGTGACTATGTGACTACTACTAGGTTTCAAAAACGAAGCTCTAGGCTTATGTGGAAATATTATAAGTTGAGTTTTGGAAGCGTTGGGAGAAATCTTCCATTTTTGTAAATAAGAAGAGAAAATATCTAAACTTTTCTGCAGTCTGCTGCAAATAACACGAAGACTTCTTCCTTTAGCGGAAATGCCTGTGTCATCAGCGAACAAAGATTTGTGGCAACCCTGAGGCAAATCAGGGAGGTCCGAAGTGAAAATGTTATACAATATAGGCCCAAGAATGCTACCCTGAGGAACTCCTGCCCTAACAGGTAGCCGATTAGATTTGGAATTTTGATAATTTACTTGAAGAGTTCTGTCAGTTAAATAATTTTGAACTAATTTCATAATATAAAGTGGAAAATTAAACTTTTTCAATTTAGCAATCAAACCTTCATGCCAAACACTGTCGAATGCTTTTTCTATGTCTAGAAGAGCAACTCCAGTTGAGTGGCCTTCAGATTTGTTTGAACGAATTAAATTGTTAACTCTTAAGAGTTGATGAGTAGTTGAATGCCCATGGCGAAATCCAAACTGCTCATCTGCAAAAATTGAGTTCGTATTGATGTGAAGCATCATTCTATTCAAAATTATCTTTTCAAAAAGTTTACTTATTGAAGAAAGCAAACTTATTGGACGGTAGCTAGAAGCTTCAGCTGGATTTTTATCCGGCTTCAAAATTGGAACAACTTTTGCATTTTTCCATTTATCAGGAAAGTATGCCAAATGGAAACATCTGTTAAATAATTTTACCAAGAAAGACAAGGTACTCTCTGGGAGTTTTTTGATGAGGATATAGAAAATTCCATCATCACCTGGAGCTTTCATATTTTGAAACTTTTTAGTTATAGACCTTACTTCGTCCAAATCAGTCCCCCAGGTATCATCAAAAATATTTTCCCGAGAGAAAATATTCAGAAAATCCCGAGCAACCTGATTCTCAATAGGACTAGTAAGACCCAAACTGAAATTATGGGAACTCTCGAATTGCTTAGCAAGTTTCTGAGCTTTTTCCAAATTTGTGATCAAAATTTTACCACCTTCTTTAAGCGCTGGAATAGGCTTTTGAGGTTTTTTCAAAATTTTTGTGAGTTTCCAAAAGGGTTTGGAACTCGGGTCTAATTTAGAAATATTATTTTCAAAAGTTTTGTTCCTCAGGGCAGAGAATCGCTTTTTAATTTGTTTTTGCAAATCCCGCCAGATAACTTTCATGGCAGGATCGCGTGTTCTTTGATATTGTCTCCTACGGACATTTTTAAGACGGATCAAGAGCTGAAGATCATCGTCTATTATAATTGAATCGAATTTAACCTCGCATTTTGGTACTGAGGCAGCTCTTGCTTCAACTATAGAAGTAGTCAGAGATTCAAGAGCATAATTAATTTCATCTTTGGTTTGCAAAGGAATGTTTGGATCGAAGTTATATTCCATAAATGTTCGATACTGCTCCCAATCAGCTCTATGGTAATTGAAAGTAGAGCTGTTGGGATTACAAATTATTTCTTGGGATATTTCAAAAGTTACTGGAAGGTGATCAGAACCGAAGTCAGCATGGGTAACCAATTGGCTACAAAGATGACATGAATCAGTTAAGACCAAATCAATAGTTGAGGGATTTCTTGCAGAAGAAAAGCATGTT